AGGGCGCCTAACAGGCTAGGACCGCCACTGATTCGGATAACTGATTTATGATATCATAATCCCTGATTCTGCTAAAGAAGTGTCACGATCTTTGTACAGATTCTTGCTCAGAACATCCTGGTGGTTCTGGCCACTATGTTCCCCGTCGACTTCACCCCTGAGGTCCATATGGCTTTAGACAAGTTCCTGGCTGCCTTGGCTCGTGCCCTGTCTGTGAAATACCGATAAATTGCATACTGGAGGCGACGAGCGGCGGCAGGGGCTCAGATAGCTACTCACTGCCAGTCTGAATATGAATAAATCAAATGCAATGAAACTGCCGTGTTTGTTTGGGTTTTTTGTGTGGTGTAAAGTAAAAATACAGGAGCAGAATAAAAAATTAAAATAAAACAATGCCAGAATGAACACACAAACTATTTTAAGACTGACGATGAACATGAGAACTTTAACGAGTTGTATATCTGGAGGATAACTGGTATTCCTAAAGAAAATGCAAGCAATTTGTGAAAAGCATATCTTTCTACTGCGAAAACTCAAAAATATAACAGTATGAAAGTTGTCTACTAATCGCTGATTGTGAAATAGCCTATACTGGAATGATTGGAACAAAACATTACAGGGAATGAGCTCTAAAAACAAACAAACAAACAAAAAAAAACTCTTATACAAATGTAGATTTTTTTTTATTACATTTTAAAAATCTTCTACTCAGATTATTTTTGTTTCAATGAAAAACTGTTGTGTAATATTTTCAACTTTACTCCAGTATATTGACGAAACACAACTGGTTTAGGCCACTGCATTTATCTGACACCTAATACTACGTGATTTATTCAATTAAATACTTTTTCCACCGCTTCCAGAAACATGAATCAGAAGCTTCATGAAATTATAACCTTACTCTGTCGCAGTTGACTTTACTATCATTAAATCAGAATCAGAATACTTTATCAATCCTTAAGGAAATTATGTAAATTATGTAAAATCTCACCTGTTGGACCAGAAAATGTTTGCTGTTTGAGTGAATGAGGCTGACTACCCTCTGACAGTGGACTGTTAAATCAGTAAACCATTAAATCACTAATAATCAGTAATACTGAATGCTGTGCGTTTACAGAATCGGTCCGTTTGTAGTTTAATTTCACTTCATCATCGGTCTCATATCATCCGTCATAATTTATGAGAGGTCCTTTGATGCGAAAGTCACAGCATGACTTATTTTTATTTTACACCATCTTATTTAAAATTTGAAAGAATAGGCTAATTAATATCTTACACCCACTATTTAACTCTTCTGTTACACCCTGATATAGTTGCAAATGCTAGAAAAAGAAAAAACAACAAAGTAAAGAATATGCTCGTTGTTTTATTGATTTAAGCCTCCTCAAGACATGATTTAAAAAACAGTATGTAACGGTCCTATTATGAAAAAGGGGGAATAAAACAAACAACTTGATGTATATGCTTCATATATCTTATTTATTAACATCATTTTGAGGTACAATTTAACAGCAGAGTATGTGACGGTCCTCTGCAGCTTTCTAGTAGTACTGCTTTCTGAGGGAGGACACCACCACTGCCAGGAACTTCTGAAAAGCCGCGTGTACCTCAGGAGTGAAGGCTTTACGCAGCTGGGAAGCAACCACAATGGTCAGGCAGTCGCCCAGGAGCTGTAAAACAACACAACATGCATGAGATATCATGAACATGCTAAATAAATACATAAATGTCAATAGAAGCCAGTACCATCAGTTCAGCATTGCCTACCATGAAATTGTCAGGGTCCACCTGCAGTTTCTCAGAGTGCAGCGCGCTCAGCTCTGCATATGTGGCCTTGATGTTGTCCATGTCCTTCACGGCTTTTTCCAGAGCTTCCATGAT